CGCTGATAAAAAAAAAATGTTTAAATGGCACTTCCTATCAAAAAGGTTGCCGACCCCTGATGTAGGGAGTAACAAATTAAAGTAATATATTACTTTTTTGGAGTAACGACCCCATCTCTGTTTATGATATATTATCAGGGCTGCACATAACTGGTGCGTAGGTGCTTATGCGCACCTCCACCAAAAAAGAGCACCGGGTCATTTGAAAAAAGGCGCATTTGCGTACCAACATTGAGAGAGAGAGAGGGAGAGAGAAGGGAGAAGAGAAAAGAGAGGAGAGAGGAGAGAGGAGAGAGGAGAGAGGAGAGAGAGAGAGAGAGAGAGAGAGAGAAAGATATTTGCGAGTTGCATAACTCACGGCCGGCCCATAGCACTGGCGTTATAACTTTTCAGATCTGATCGCAGGGGCTGCGCTGGCAGTTCTGGGAGGGAAAACACATTTTTGACCGTTGGTGCTCATCCTTATATTCGGCCTTGATGTAACAATATTCATACTTAAGTCAATGTAACACCCTTTTCACCCCGGTTACACGTTTCATTTGCCCTGTACGATGGGCGCTGTAAGTGATGAAAATGGGGGATGTTGGCTTATCTGGCGCCCGCAGCTCACAGACAAAGTGCGAGTGAGCGTGGGAGCGAATGAGGGAGAGAGGGAGGGTGCACCGGTACGCGTCTATCGTTATTCCAACCGGTACCAGCGCTGTTGTTATTAGCATCTGGTGCTAGCTGCGCTAACGGATATTAGAAGAAGATGTTTCTACAATGATGTGGAGGGAGAGTCCTCTCCAGTCAGACTGAGCGGCTGATAACTACAGCTCAGTGAGGTAAAGGACTCTGAGTGTTTAGATAGTTCACTTTAGTCTAAGTTCAAACAGTTTGGTCACAATTTATGTAAACACATATTTCCAAGGCACTCCTTTATAATTATTGGGATAAACAGGTTTGAAATCATTCCAACGTATACTATAGGACAGTAACCAAAAATATCCTTTAAAACTGGAGAGATACAAAATAAAATGCATAAATAAATGTTAAGGTAAAATAAGATATGAACGAACAACACAAATAAAACAAGTTACATTCATTTGTTATTTGCTATGGTAGGTTATTGGTTATGTTCACTGCATGTGTGTTCTGTGTTCACCTCTGCATGTGTGTTCAGTGCTGTGTGTCTGGAAAATAAAGTCAAGACCCCCTCAAAAGTTACGGTTTATTTCATTTTAAGGATGAGCACCAAGGAACATCTCCAGGTGCTCCTTTGAGAACCAGGGCAAAAAAGTTATGTGCACCCCTGTTTATATTATTCCACCAATCTTGATAAATAGTGGTTGATTTTGCAAAACACAATCTCCTTAGCATCTGTTCATTTCTGAGAATTGTTGTGATGATCTTAGCACTGTCAGTGTTGTCAGTACTCTAAAAGTTTGTTATCATTACCATGGTCTTGGGGAATATTTGATTCTGATTGGCTGGTCTGTTTCTGATAAAGGACAACTACTTAGAAGTGTCAGTGAGACTGTCTGTTCCTCGTTTAAATTAAATAGCTACATAAACCGCCAGTATGTAAAATGAGGAACCATAGCTACAGTCAAAGCCTTCATTTACAATTGACTGCAAAACATTATCAAGATAACCTCTAAGTAAAACAACCACTGACAATGTTGCTGTTGAAAAAGGAAACATTAAAGGTCTCCTATTATGCTATTTCTAGGCATATATTATGGGTCTCAGATATATACATATAAAAAACATGTCTATGATGTGTTTTGCTCAAAATACCAAATAGATCATGCATTTTAGACATCCCTCATATCTCTCTGTTTTAGCCGTGTAGAGAACTGCGGATTCGGGGTCCTTCGCTGGAAAAAAAAGAAAAGAGGAGGTGGAGCAAATGGCCGATTCAGCTCAATGCTGCTATGACTAAATGTCATATACTGTTCCAAACCACATCAAGGATTATCTCTGAAACAGCATGGACCTCAAATGCTTTTTCTCTTGCGGGTTTACCACAAGTTGAGTTCCTTTTTGTATTTCCTGCTGTTATACACATGTGCTCTCTCCAGTACTGCGTTAGCTCTGAGTGTTAGCATGCTTGCTAATGTAAACAAAGACCATATTAGGTCCAAAACAGTCGAGCATTGTTTCTGATAGCAACTTTCTGATAGGGCTGTGGGTCCGCATTGCTGATATTGCGTCATATCGGACGCAAATCTGGATCAGCTCCGTTGTACCCCGGTTTTTAGAGATTTGGGTACGGAGGAAAAGAGAGAGGGTTTTATTTTCTGACGCTGCGTGAGTTCCCTGACACACCGGGGACACATGTTTATGTATAAGAGACATCACAAAGTGCATTTTGCATGATAGGAGACCTTTAAACAAGTAAATACAATCAAATGAAAACATGCAAAATACAGCACTGGAAATCCTAATAAAAGCAAACAGAACACGTTAACCACAGGCAGGGGTTCAGGTGCTTTTGATGAACTTGCACGTAATCTTCAGGTTGTTTACAGATTAGTAAAAGACGGCTGATTAAATGTGAGACTGTGCTCCTCTCTCCTCCTCAGAGGGCAGTCTGCGCCTCCTCCTGGGCGTCCTCACCTCCTCCGGCTCCTCCCCCACTCAGCAGCTGGAGCAGAAACAGGCTCTGGCTCGACAGTTCGCTCACATCCTGCACTTCACGCTGCGCTTCGACGAGCTCAAGGTAACACACCTCCTTCTGATGCACCTCCTTCTGAGGCACCTCCTTCTGATGCACCTCCTTCTGAAGCACCTCCTTCTGAGGCACCTCCTTCTGAAGCACCTCCTTCTGATGCACCACCTTCTGATGCACCTCCTTCTGAAACACCTCCTTCTGATGCACCTCCTTCTGAAGCACCTCCTTCTGATGCACCTCCTTCTGAGGCACCTCCTTCTGATGCACCTCCTTCTGATGCACCACCTTCTAAGGCACCTCCTTCTGATGCACCTCCTTCTGAGGCACCTCCTTCTGAAGCACCTCCTTCTGGGGCACCTCCTTCTGAAGCTCCTCCTTCTGAGGCACCTCCTTCTGATGCATCTCCTTCTGGAGCACCTCTTAACTCTTCTTCTTCTGTTGAGGGTTAGTGTGGGAGGAGCTTAACTCTTCTTCTTCTGTAGAGGGTTAGTGTGGGAGGAGCTTAACTCTTGTTCTTCTGTTGAGGGTTAGTGTGGGAGGAGCTTAACTCTTCTTCTTCTGTTGAGGGTTAGTGTGGGAGGAGCTTAACTCTTGTTCTTCTGTTGAGGGTTAGTGTGGCTTCTTCTTCTGTTGAGGGTTAGTTGAGGGTTAACTCTTGTTCTTCTGTTGAGGGTTAGTGTGGGAGGAGCTTAACTCTTGTTCTTCTGTTGAGGGTTAGTGTGGGAGGAGCTTAACTCTTGTTCTTCTGTTGAGGGTTAGTGTGGGAGGAGCTTAACTCTTGTTCTTCTGTTGAGGGTTAGTGTGAGGAGCTTAACTCTTCTTCTTCTGTTGAGGGTTAGTGTGGGAGGAGCTTCACTCTTCTTCTTCTGTTGAGGGTTAGTGTGGGAGGAGCTTAACTCTTGTTCTTCTGTAGAGGGTTAGTGTGGGAGGAGCTTAACTCT